AAGGGAAATGCTGGATCCTATATGTGGGGGCAGAGATGCCTTTCCAGAAGAGGGGGCCTTTTGACTACAAACAGGAAGATATGTCAAAAGGTAGCCAGGTAAATCTGGGTGCGATGGGTCATATCTGTAATCCCAGCACTTTGGGAGGCTGAGGCAGGCGGATCGCTTGAGCTCATGAGTTCATGACCAGCCTGAGCAACATAGCGAAACCTTGTCTACAAAAAAAATTTAAAAATTGGCTGGGCGTGGTGGCTCACGCCTGTAATCCCAGCACTTTGGGAGGCCCAGGCGGGTGGATCATGAGGTCCAGAGATCGAGACCATCTTGGCCAACACAGTGAAACCCTGTTTCTACTAAAGTACAAAAATGGGGCCGGGCGTGGTGGCTCACGCCTGTAATCCAAGCACTTTGGAGGCCAAGGCGGGTGAATCACCTGAGGTCGGGAGTTCAGGACCAGCCTGACTAACATGGTGAAACCCCATCTTTAAAAAATAAATAAATAAATAAAGTACAAAAATGAGCAGGGCATGGTGGTGCGTGCTGTATTCCCAGCTACTCGGGAGGTTGTAGCAGATGAATTGCTTGAACCCAGGAGGCAGAGGTTGCAATGATCTGAGATCGCGCCACTATACTCCAGCCTGGCGCCTGGTGACAGAGCAAGACTGTCTCAAAAAAAAAAAAAAAAAAAGCTAGCTAGGTGAAGGAGTCCTAGGGATAAGAATCCTTACAACAGAGGCAACAGTAAGATAAAGGTTCAAACAGGGAAGGTGCAGAGCAGATAATTTTTTTTTTTTTGAGACGGAGTTTCACTCTTGCCCAGGCTGGAGTGCAACAGCGATCTTGGGGCTCACTGCAACCTCCACCTCCCGGGTTCAAGCGATTCTCATGCCTCAGCCGCCCTAGTAGCTGGGATTACAGGCATGTACCATCATGCCTGGCTAATTTTGTATTTTTAGTAGAGACGTGGTTTCACATGTTGGTCAGGTTGGTCTTGAACTCCTGACCTCAATTGATCCACCCGCCTCAGCCTCCCAAAGTGCTCCAAAGTGCTGGGATTACAGGCATGAGCCACCGTACCCAGCTGATGGTTCTTTTTTTTTTTTAAAGAGGAGAAAAAACAACTACATTTGTATTTCTGGTGCTTCCAAGCATAAGAAAAGGCAGCATCCCAGGCCACACTCTGGGAGGTGCAATATTCCCTCCTTGGCTGGGGTGAGGAGCCTGGTTCTTCCCAGGAGGCTGTGATTGTGGAGTAGTTCCTTCTTCCCCAGGTGCGGATAGATTTCCTAAACCGACAATGGACATCTTCCCTTGTCCTGGGAGTCATCACCTGTGCACCTGAGAGGCTCAACTTCCCTGCTTCTGCCTGTGCCCTCAAACGGGCAGCCTGGCTGCTTCGGGGCCGTGGGGTCTTCCACAACGGTCTCAAGGTGAGTAGGAGCCAGAGAGAAGGGACGGGACCACGCCTCAGTAGGGAAGGGCTGGCCAGAAGGGAGAAGAGGGACCCCTGGCCCTGGAGGTAGGACCACAGGTATAAAAGGGGGACAGTAGTGGACAGGCAAGGCTGAGTACCACTGCCTGGTCAGTCTTAGGCCTGCTGCTTCCTGCAGTGTCCCTGCCATTGAGAATGTGCCAATTTTGGGGAAGGGGAGGGGCTCTAGGTAACTGCAGTGGGAGGAGAGCCTCGGCAGCAGGCAAGTGTGGAGACAAAGCCAAGGCACTGGCAGCAGGAAACAGAGTAAAGGGCGGGACAGCTGCTGTGGTGGAGTCTGACCTCTGGAAGACAGCTGGTCTCTCCTCCCAGATCTGTGAGAAGTTTGGGCCAAATCTGGACACGTGCCCTGAAGGCACCATCCTGGGACTGCGGCTGGACAGCTCTGGGGGACTGCATCTCCATGTCAATGGGGTGGACCAGGGGGTAGCTGTGCCAGATGTGCCCCAGCCCTGCCATGCGCTTGTAGACCTCTATGGCCAGTGTGAGCAGGTTAGTGGCAGTTGGGGCAGGGAGGAGGGGTGCCTGAGAGTCTGGGCTGTCCAGGACAGGGACAGTCTGTGGTCCAGGATCCGCAGGCTCTGGGATCTGACCAAGCTCTGTCTGACTACCCTCTTCTCCGCAGGTGACAATCGTGAACCCAGAACCAGGGGCTACCAGTGGGAAAAGTTCTGGAACCCAAGGGGACATGGAGAAAGCAGACATGGTGGACGGTGTGCCAGCCCAAAGGGACCCAGCTCCTGCCCCACTCCCCAACCCCAACCCTTCTAGCCCAGCTTCTGTGACCTGTGCCCCTCTGCTCCCTCAGGTATCAAGGAGAGTGTGTGCTGGGGTCCACCACCTGCTGCTAGCCCTCTAAAGAGCTGCGAGTACCATGCCCTTTGCTCTCGCTTCCAAGAACTCCTCCTGCTTCCTGGTGAGTCCCAGTCCCCCAGAACTGACTTCATTCCCAGGGCCAGGCCCAGAGCCTTGGAGAGCAGTTGGACGGTGGCAGTGTGTTGGAGATCAAGGGTGGGAGCCCAGCACCAAGCCTGCTACTCACTGTCCCGCAGAAGATTATTTCATGCCTCCGCCAAAGCGAAGCCTCTGTTACTGTGAGTCTTGCTGGAAGCTGCGAGGAGACGAGGCCCACAGGCGCAGAGGGGAGCCTCCCCGGGAATACGCATTGCCCTTTGGCTGGTGCAGATTTAACCTCAGGTACATATGGGCAGGGTCATGCATTTCCCCTACTGTTTGCTCCCTGGAGAAATGGGGATCCCAAGAGGGTGCATGGAAGAAGTGATAGAACTTTTGTCTAGGGAAAAGCCAGGAAGTGCCAGAAACTTCTTAAGGAAGAGCCCTGTGAAGCTCCTCCATGGGGGAGCCAGTGGCCTTTGTTCTACCTGCCCCGCTTGTCCACCTCCTAGAGTGAATCCCTGCCTGGAGGCTGGGACACTAACCAAGAAATGGCACATGGCATATCACGGGAGCAATGTGGCGGCTGTACGGAGAGTGCTGGACCGAGGGGAGCTGGGAGCAGGTACTGGGAGCAGGCCCTCGCAGGGTGGCTGAGCCCGGGGGCTGTGGAGGAATAAAGAGGGCTGTCCTAACCCAGTTCTCCTCCCAGGTACTGCCTCCATCTTGAGCTGCCGTCCCTTGAAGGGAGAGCCTAGGGTAGGGTTTGAGGAGCCTGGCGAGAACTGTGCACCTCCTCGGGAGGAGCAGCCCCCTCCGGTGCTGCTTTCCCCCTCCCTTCAATATGCTGGGGCTGAGCCCCTGGCCTCCAAAGTGCAGTGAGTACTGGGAGGGGCGGGGGGAGATCTCCAGGGCCTCAGACAAAGAGAGGCCCCAGCACAGCCACTGGGGTCTTCGTGATTTACCCTCCCCTTTTCTCATCTTGTCTTGCTAGCTGCCCAGTCTCCAACTCAGCCCTTTCTTCACTTACTGAACAAATACCACTTGTATGCTCTTCTAGTGGGCAAAAAAAAGGAACCTTGCTCTTGTAGAACTTCTGCCTTTACTCTATAATGTTTATACATAATAAATATTTAGTATGTCTAAGTAAGAACTACGGAAACAAAGAGTGGGGTGAAGGAAACAGCAGTGCTGTTGCTGTGGGCATCGTAAGAAGGTGGGAGGCCAGGTGGATTACGCCTGTAATCCCAGCACTTTGGGAGGCCGAAGCGGGCAGATCACAAGGTCAGGAATTCAAGGCCAGCCTGGCCAATATGGTGAAACCCCATCTCTACTAAAAATACAAAAATTAGCCTGGCATGGTGCCACCCGCCTGTAGTCCCAGCTACTTGGGAGGCTGAGGCAGGAGCATCACTTGAGCACAGGAGGCAGAGGTTGCAGTGAGCTGAGATTGCGCTACTGCACTCCAGCCTGGAAGGTGGAACATACTTGAGCAAAAGCTTGAAGAAGGAAGTAAAAGGTGAAATGAAGTGAAGGAAGTGAAGGGTAGCTGGGCAGGCTTTGGGAGGAAGAGCATTTCAGGTAGAAAGAACAGCTAGAACGAAGTTCCCATAAGGTGGGAGGATTTCCTAGGTACAGCAAGGCTTGTGTGGTTGGAACAGACTTTGCAAGGGGAGAGGTGATGGGGCGAGAGGCTTCACTCCCCTATTTCTTGTCTGACAGATTCCGGGATCCCAAATCCCAGCGGACGCACCAGGCTCAGGTGGCGTTCCAGGTGTGTGTGCGTCCTGGCTCCTACACCCCAGGACCCCCTTCCGCTGCTCTTGGAGAACCTTCTGACCCTCACTTCAGCCCAGCCGAACTTGAGTGGGTCACTAAGGAGAAGGGGGCCACACTCCTCTATGCCCTGCTGGTACGGGTGGAATGAGGGGTGAGACACCACTACTACAAGCACAGTCGGGCCTCAGGCCCATAGACTCTGAATGGCGACTGCCTCCACCTCATTCCCATGACTGTGGCATGCGCAGGTGCTGGGGCTCGGCGGCCGCTCAGGAGCATGTAGGCAGGCTCTCAGATGTAGGCGGGAAGCGGCACAGCTCCAGGTCCAGAGGCCCAGCACTCCGTCTGATGGGAGGAGCTGCGGGAGCCCAGCTCCAGGCCTTGGTACCCTTCTTCATGCACTGATTTGCGGAACATGACTCCCTATTACTCCCCTCCCCGACATCACTTAATTTATTTCCATTTTTGTTTCTGGTTACTGTGAATCCCAGAGGAGTCTCTACCTGTGCCCACATGAAGCTGCTTTTTCCGGGGCCACTGGGCGGGAGTGGGGAAGGGCGGGCGCACGGAAGACGGGGGCCTCTGTACAGTTGTTACTGACTCTGATTTCTAAGGAGCCAATAAACACCGTCTCAGAGCCTCCGCCTCAGCCTCTCTCTCACGCGCCCCTTTCCGGAGCCTGAGTCCCCTGGGGTACTGCCAGGCGGGCCCGCGAAAGTTCTCTTAACTGAGGATGCTAAAGCAGTTGTGCAGCGTCCGTCGCCTGCGTTGCTGGCGATGGGATTTGGACACTGCGAGCACCCGTCGCAGCGCGCTTCCGCCTTCTCTCACCCAACCAGTGATATCGGCCTCCGCCGTGACTCCGGAAGGACTCGCCGGGCCGCTGGATGTGACGCAGGGGCCAGGGCGCGCCGGATCCGCGGAGAAAGCGCAGAGAAGGCGGGTAAGGGGTGCTGGTGTCCGGGCTAGCCAGGCAGGGAGCGGCAGCACCGAGCCGGGGACCCAGCGCCGCCCGCGCGCGTGCTGGAGCGGGGGCTGCGGGCTCGGCCGGGTGGCGGGCTCCCGGGACACGTGACCGGGGCGGCGAGCGGGCCGGGCGGACGGGTTTCCGCCTGAGCCGGGCGCGGTCCCCTCTGAGCGCCCGCCTCCCCGTAGGTCTCGTCTGAGGTCTGGCAGTGAGAGACAGCCGGGCGTCCACGGCAGCACCATGCCTGCACTCCTGGAGCGCCCCAAGCTTTCCAACGCCATGGCCAGGGCGCTGCACCGGCACATTATGATGGAACGGGAGCGCAAGCGGCAGGGTGAGCCGGGGCCATAGCGGGGGGCATATGGCCCAGAATGGCTCCTGTACCTCACGGCTGGCCCCAACCCACCGGCCAACGTGCGCGCCCGCTGCCGAGCGCAGAGGAGGGAAGGAACAGCCTTGTTGTGGTAGGATTTAAGCGTCCTAGTCCACTCTCCAGAACCCTTGAGCTGGGAAGGACCTTGGAGAGCACCTGATAACGTCTCCATTATATTCCCTATTGCAGCGATGGGGAGCTTGTCCCCTCGAGGCAAAGAGCCCACAGGCGTGTTGGGATGACTGGGTTTTGCTGGTCTTCAATCTGTAACGTTGGAATTTTTATTACCCTGCCTCTTCCTCATTCTGCCTGATTCTCCAGAGGAAGAAGAGGTGGACAAGATGATGGAACAGAAGATGAAGGAAGAGCAAGAAAGAAGGAAGAAAAAGGAAATGGAAGAGAGAATGTCACTAGAGGAGACAAAGGAACAAGTAAGCAGTCCCTTGATCTCTCCAAGCTCTGATTTCTTCCCTTGACTCTCCCTACCTTCATCTTCTCTCCCCACCCTATCCCAGATTCTGAAGTTGCAGGAGAAGCTTTTGGCCCTACAGGAAGAGAAGCACCAGCTTTTCCTGCAGCTCAAGAAAGTTTTACATGAAGAAGAAAAACGGAGGCGCAAGGAACAAAGGTGGGATCAGAGTGATAAAAACCAAAATCGGGGCCAAGTGGAACGGGGATCAGATAGTAGGAGAACCAGTGTTTAACGACAAAACAGAGGGTGTCTGTCCTTGACTTTAACCTGTTTACCTTTCACTCTAGTGACCTGACCACCCTGACATCAGCTGCATACCAGCAGAGCCTGACTGTTCACACAGGAACTCATCTCCTTAGCATGCAGGGTGAGGACTAAAACTACCTGATAGAACCAGCCTTCTTTGAGGTTGCAGCCTCCCATTTCAGCATCCTGACGCCCTTCTCCCTTTCTAGGGAGCCCTGGAGGACACAATCGCCCAGGCACCCTTATGGCAGCTGACAGAGCCAAACAAATGTTTGGACCCCAAGTGCTTACGGTAAGAATAGGATTGGATGCCTAGTCCCAAATATCCTTGCCACCAGTATTCAAGTCACAGACATATCAAGCACTTAAATTTAGGGGGAAACAGCATAAAGATATACCCAAGTCACTGAGTTTCAGCTTTCAAGGAGCTTGTAGGCGAGTTCTCATTCTCCCTCCTTAGACCCGGCACTATGTGGGCTCAGCAGCTGCTTTTGCGGGGACACCAGAGCATGGACAATTCCAAGGCAGTCCTGGTGGTGCCTATGGGACTGCTCAGCCCCCACCTCACTATGGGCCCACACAGCCAGCTTATAGTCCTAGTCAGCAGCTCAGAGGTGAGTCATTGGAGGGATGGGGGCTTGGCTTTCCTCAGGGTCAAAAGAGGAATGCTATTGAGTAAAGGGTTAATAGCTGTGTCTCTTTCTCAGCTCCTTCGGCGTTCCCTGCAGTGCAGTACCTATCTCAGCCACAGCCACAGCCCTATGCAGTGCACGGCCACTTCCAGCCCACTCAGACAGGTGATAACATCCCATGCAGGACCTCTAGCTCACTGAGTCCTCCCCTCCCTGTCTCACATGCCCCTGCTCCCCACCTAGGTTTCCTCCAGCCTGGTGGTGCCCTGTCCTTGCAAAAGCAGATGGAACATGCTAACCAGCAGACGGGCTTCTCTGACTCAGTGAGTATGGCCCTTGGGAGGTCAGGGTTAAGGATATGTTAAGGGGAGCTTCAGTATGCCTCAGGCCCTGACTCTGTTCTCTGCAGTCCTCTCTGCGCCCCATGCACCCCCAGGCTCTGCATCCAGCCCCTGGACTCCTTGCTTCCCCCCAGCTCCCTGTGCAGATCCAACCAGCGGGAAAGGTAAGAATGGTAATAACCTTACCTGTCAGAATCCCTACACTGGGGATCCAGAAAAGCAGAATTAGGTAGGACAGGTAGCCCACATCATCTGGTTTTTCCTTCCTCTTTGGGGGTGGTTATTAGTAAGGGTATTAGTGGAAGGGAGAGTATGCCCAGTGACAAAGCCCTCTTTTCATCACCACCGCCAGTCGGGCTTTGCAGCTACCAGCCAACCTGGCCCTCGGCTCCCCTTCATCCAACACAGCCAGAACCCGCGATTCTACCACAAGTGACCATCAGATTATTATCTTCAGCACCATACCCCCCCATCCCACTGTGGGTGAGGGTACCCCCTGTGTGTCCCAGGCCAATAAAATCTACCTGCCACTGCCCCTGGCTGCTGCTGTTTGTGTTGCCTCCCACCCAACTGTCTGGAATAGGTCAAGGCTGCTTGGAGGGTCAGGGGACGGCTGGCAGGCCCACAGCAAGTGATACAAGTAGTGGGTTCCAATGAACTCAGTGGCAGAGGTCAGTCTTTTTGTGGCTTCCAAAATATACCCATTTAATTGAAATAAGCAGCTGAGTTGGGGGCTTCATATTAAACTTGTAGTTTTATTCAGGTTTGATTTTAACAAATGTGTCGGGGAGAGAGCCCACAGGGAAAGGTAAAGCCCATGGGGGCAGGGCCCTCCCAGATGCCTGAGGAGGGGCAAGTCCCCTCCCCTCTCCTCCTTTTCCCTCCCCATCTAAAGGGGTTTGGGGAGAGACACAGGCAGGGGAGGGGCTGGTCCCCAGTCTGTTGGGATGGTGCTTAGGGTAAAGGGCCATGGGGAACAGAGGACCAGACCAGGGATGAGTGGGGAGGGCATAAGGACCATTTGCCAGAATCCACTGCTTTCTGATTCCAGATTGAATTAAAAAAAATAAAAATAAAAAAAAAAATAAACCACAAGCAGCACCCACCCCTTCTCCCCCACCAGGGCTGTAGTGTGAGGGGAGGAGAGGAGGGCAGCTCACCAAGGCCATGGCTTCGCTTGCTCCTGGCCAAGGGAGCTAGGTGAAGGGCAGGGGCTCCCCGACAGATTGGGGGGTGGGGTGGGGAAAACCAAAATAAAACGTCAAATAAATTGTGTAGGAGTCGTCCAGCCTAGGACCAGGCCAGAGCCAGGCCAGGCTGGGGGAGGGGGCCTCTGCAGGTTCAGAGGATCACTGCTGCCACCACCGCCACCCTGGGTTGGAGAGAGAAATTGGTAAGACAGGATAATACCTTCAACAGGAAGGATAGAGAAGACAGGGCCAGGCTAGGGGCAGAAAGTAAGCAATTAAGACTAGAGCAGCTCTGCTGGGGACAACAAAATGTAAAGGGGACAGTGAAGGATTTGTGATACTCACCAGAGAGCCAGTTATTTTGCCATGGCCTTAATTGCAACAGCTGCCTCCTCTGTCATGGCAGACAGCACCGTGATCTGGAGGAGCAAGAGGGACAGCCAGGAGATGTCTGAGCTCAGAGGAAAAAATGTACAGAGCAAAGTTGAGCACAAAAGCAGGGAGGAAGGCACCATACCAGGATCTCTTCTCCACAGTCGTACTTCTGCTCAATCTCCTTGCCAAGATCTCCCTCAGGCAGACGAAGGTCCTCTCGAACCTCCCCACTGTCCTGGAGCAGTGATAGGTACCCATCCTGGATGCCAATCAGCTGGGGGCACATAGGGAAGGAAGCTGAAGGTAGTAAGCCCAGGTAGGCTGAGAGTAAAGGCTCTGATAGACAAATTGGAATGACAGCAAACTAATACCAAATACCCTCTCCTGCCATTTCCCTCCTATCTCCCAGCACAAGCTCTTCTGGTCAGTCCCTGCCCTCCAACCCCCCTCCACCATAAACCACTAACCCATCCTCATTCAGACCATCTACATACCTGGAAATCATTCCTTTTGATGTTGGGGACATCCATATTATGAGTTGACGGGCAGATATCTTCATATTTCTTCCCAGTAAAGATGTCAATACCAACCAGGTGGACCTGTATGTATGCATCACAGAGAAACCCAACCAAACTCTAAGATGGAGAAAATAAAGTCTCAAATTAATCTTGCCTGATGAGGGAAGTCAGACTACACTGTTGGGGCAAAGACTGGGAGTGTTGGAATTAAACCAATCAACTCAAGAAACAGTAAAGCCTCTTAAAAGAAAAAAACCAACCAACAGAGGCTAAAAGACCACCACTGAGATTGGGGTTGACAGCACAAGAGAAAACGGCATGGCAGGCTTGGAGAAGACAGTTGATGCTAAGAGTCTAGGGGAGGCGGGAGGAGTCTGGGTAAAAGTTTGCAAGAGTTTTCTGGACACCAGGATAAGGAACTGAGAAATTGGGAAATAAGGTAGAAGGAAACGGCTAAGAAAACAAGAAATGTGAAACAGCTGAAGAGAAAAAGGGACTTGCAGGGAGATCAGAAATAACTATGCAACCAGAAAATAAGGATACCAGAAGAGCACAGAGAAGGATCTAGCCATTAGGGAATAACTCAAGATCAACATCAAGTCAAAAGATGGAAAAACTGATTAAGGAAGATCACCACAAGAAACAATAAGAATGAACCAGGTTGAAAAAATTCTAAAGAGACAGGATAAGTCTGAGGTGATGAGGGAGGTGCTAGCAAGAATGTTAAAACCCAAGAAAGCATGGAGGCTCAAGGAACCCAAGGAGAGTGGGATGGGGCAGGTAGGGGGAGTGTGATCCTGCATCAGAGTTCCAAAGGGAAAGCTAGAACTGAGGAATCAAGCAGCAAAGTGATCTGAGAGTTCTGAATGCAGGAGTCCCTCCCTCCAGGGGAAGGCCTCATTCTGTCAGAATTGGAGAAACCTTGGGCATAGTAATGGAAACAACCACCTACAATGGCTCAAGGGAAGAGAGAAACAGAAAAAGTGAAAACCAAGAATAAGGAAGGAGCAACTGAACAGCTAGAGCATAAAGACTGAATTGAAGTTAAGAGACTGGCACAAAGCTGGAGAAATGGAGGGAATGTCAGAGAATGATGCGGGGACAGAAGGATAACCACAAGAGGCTGAAGACTGGGGAGCAGGTGTAGTGGTCTCAATGGGTATGAGGGCTGAATCCTAAACAAAAGGAATCAGACAATCAAAGCAAAGTCAAAGGAAGGTCAGCACTGTTGGCAGCTTGCTGCTGGGAGCGCCAAGGATACTGGAGGCATGGGGGAAAGCAAGATGTGGAAGTGAAATTCTAACCTTGGCGTGGCCGTGCTTGCCAGTCTTCGAAGTAGACATCTCGACGATCTTACATGGCCGGCCTTTGAGCACCACAAAGCCATTCTTACGTAATGCTGAGCACTGCATTGGGAAGGTGGCTGAGGCCCCTGCATCTCCTGTCTCGAAGTCCAAATCATCTGCCATTTTAAGAGGCTTCGATTCCAACTAGAGCCAAGAAGAGAACTGAAGTGAATAAGCATGGAGGTTAACAGGACCTCCAATCTATCCCATTTCTCTCTAGAAACATTTTCCCAACTCTTTATTCCATTACCCACCTAAAATAAAGTCAAAGTTCCTGAACTTAAATACTGACTGGGCTCAAATATACTCAAGACTGGTCTGTATATGGGAGGGTGGAATAGCTGGTTTCTCCCCCACAAATCAAAGCTAAAGTGGTGGCTTGGGAAAGGAAGGCTCTAGGGAGCTGGAATGTCAAAACTCAGAGATGAGAAAAGGCCTACTTCTTGGGAGGGGGGAGGACTCAGGTATTACCTGCCACTGAAACCAACCACCCCTCTCCCCCACATATAGCCAAGGCTATAATTAGGTGAGCAGCTATGATCCAGCAAAAGGGCAGGGCTAATGTGGAGAGGGAGGGTGGAGACCGGAGGACAAGGCCCCACCCATCTGTTACACCCCCCCCCCCAATCCACACACAAACCAGTCACTGCTACAGGAAACCACAAGGCCTCTTTGGGGGATTCCCGCCTCGCCAACATGCACTTGCAGATGGAGCCAAGGGAGAGAAAGCAAAGTTGTTTCCGAAATGATCCCCCTGCCAAACACCTCGATCTTGGTTCCCAAAGAGAACCCAGGAACCCAGCCTCTCCTGGAAGGTCCTCCCACTTTTCCCAGGATGCATCTGTTCTGTCGGCTTTTCAGGCCGGGCCAGTACAGTCAGTAGAAAGTGGGAGAGGTGGGGGGTGGTGAATGACAATAAAATGAAAGCAAAAGGTTGGTAGTAGTGAGTAGTAGAAATCATACTAGGCTAGTAGAGTTAAGGACTTCGAAACCGAGGAACTCTCAAACCAGTTACAACGGGAAGACAGTGACAAGGTGAAGAGCGCCTATCACAGTGGGAAACTCGTCTGCCTGAGACTTTAAAGGCGCTGTCGGCACGGGCCGACAGAAGAGTTGGGCTCCTGTCTAAACGCCCTCAGTTTCCCCATTTCTCCGGCCTCCCTGCTCGGAGGAGTGCCACTTACACCTGGCTGGCCGCCTCACTTTCCAGGAAGCTTTTGGAGGAAAACTCCTGAGGCCCATGAGGTTGCAAGCGCTAACATATGCCTGCAGCGGGCCCTCCGGGGTAATCAGGACCTGGGCCTCAGGCTTCTCCCACTCCTCAAACTCCAGGCACCCTAGGACCCCCAACAAGGACTAGCTCTCCCCGCGGTAGAAGCTGCCGGCTCCTGCCGACCATGTGGCCGTCCAGGGCTTCCGGTGGCCGGGACCTAGGGGGAGGGGTCCCCGCGCTGCCATGCGGCCCCGGTCCACGCTCGGCCATGCGGCCTGAGACCCCGAGGGCAGCCTCCCGTGGGGGGCACTTCCGGTGCTGCGGCCGCCCCCTCCTCAGAGGCTACGCCAGGCCGGAGCCACGCCGCCTCCCCTCCCCCCGACCGTCCGCCAACCCCCCCCAACATGCCCTCTCACCGAATAGCCCCCTCCCCCACCTCACGTGGCCGCGCGGCGCCCGGTCCTCAACGGCGAGGTACCCTTGCCCCGGTGGGCCGATCTGGCACCTGGCCCTCGCCCCGGCGTGGCCGCCTGGCGGCCTCTCCCGCGTGGCGGCCGCGCGGCTCACCGTCCCCCTCCCTGCGTCGCTCCAACGTCACCGGGCCGGCCCCAACCGTCACCCCGCGCGCCAACCGGGGCGCGCGCCCGCGCCTCTCCGCACCTCGCGCCGCTCTCCGACCGAGCCCGTGCCGCGGCGGTCGCCGCTCCCCTCTGCCCCCTCCCCGACCCCCGCGCAGTTCCATCTCTCCTCCCAAGCCCAAGTCAAGGTACCGCGCACGCGCGCCCTGCCCGCTCTCACCTCGCGCGAACGCACTGACTCGACCCCGTCCGCCCGTCGCGAGCCCAACCGCTGCCTCCAAGCCCGCTGCCGCCGCCGCCGCCGCCTCTACCGCCGCCGCCGCTGCTGCACACGGGTCTTAGTACGCAGGCGCCGACTCCCCACTGACCAACCAAGCAGCCCTATGACAGCCGCGCAAGCGTGCTATCTATCTCCTCCGCCCTCCACCCCCGCACTGCGCAAGCGCACACACCCACCCCATCTCCACCCTCCCTCCCACCTACCCGTCCAATGACGCGCATACGTGACTCCGCCCCTCACAAACCCTGAGCGCTTCTAACTAATCGGCAACGCGCAGGCGCACCCGGTTTTTTAATCTCTTCAACCTCCTCTTCCCTCCCCTTGATAGACCGCTCGTCCTACCGGACAGTACTTGCGCCTGCGCAATAAGGAGCCCTGCACTCCACACCCTCTGAAGGATACGCCTCGGTCTCAGAACGCATGCGTGTTCGGAATCTTAAACGCCCCTTCCACCTCAGACGTCGTCTGCACGCCCGGCGTTGAAAAGACCACGCCACTATATCGCTTGTCTTGCCTAGAACGCATGCGTCGCAGGATACGCCACACCTCGGCTTTAAC